AAACTTTATGATTTCTGACAGAGTCTTTGTGATTTGTCACAGAGTCTTTGCAATGATATGTGTTATAATAAGATAAAATGGTAATTATAGCTTTAGTTTGTGGTATTATAGACTATAATTTTCCTTATCAACACATAATATCATCTTGCAACTTTATAATTTACTTAAATACAATAGCATAGATATCCTTTTTATCATAATTTGCAATGAAAGTCAGTTTGATGATAACTATGAGTAAACATCAAGATTAACAACCCTCGAAGAACTAAATATTCATAACGAATTATGTCAGTCGCCCAAATGACTGACTGACTGACTGACTTTGGTTTTACGCCGCTTTTAGCAATATTCCAGCAACATCACGGCGGGGACACCAGAAATGGGCTTCACACATTGTACCCATGTGGGGATTCGAACCCGGGTCTTCGGCGTGACGAGCCAACGCTTTAACCACTAGGCTACCCCACCGCCCTGTCGGCCAACTGAACAAGTCATAAGATAGGATGATTTCTTTATTAACTCAAGGGAAATTGTGTGTGCATCATGTACAGTTTTCCAGTCTATGTAACATTTTGCAAGTCACAATATCATTACCTCTCGAAATGGAACCATACAAATAGATACATGTAGTACAAAGTCACATTCACAATGCTTTACTCACCTAATCGGTACAAAAACAATTATTTTCAGACGAATACAATTTAGTCAATGTTCATGATGGTTTTGATGATGATTGTGATCTACACATTGTTGTAGATAATTCACAATTCTAAATAGGCTTCAAAATGTTAAGTGTTGTCTCATGTAACACAATATGTGAATAAACACTACAGATTGTAGTGTTACATCCCTGTTCAAGCAAGTGGCGATTCATGGCTATTTTAATCCCATCAGTGGATTCATTACATTGGTTTTTACTGAACTATATATTTCCGGAATATTGAAGTAAATCTAAGCATGCAGAAAACTATGCCAAAAAGGAAGGAATGACAGGTCCGTATTACAGCAATATTATGCCAGGAGATTTTCAACCAAAGTGAACAGATTCTGCACAATTTTGTTATAAGTACTTCACGCAATATTCATACGCTTCATGGGACAAATACTACCACACTCTCGACCACTTATGATGTTCTAGTCAACATTGTCCTGACATGGTACAGTTGAGCGACGAAATATGAAAATTTTATATTCAGTTTAAATCACCTCGAATTATAGCTTCAAACATTCAGATGATCTTTAGACACCACAGATACATTAATAGAAACGTCAAATTCCTATTCATTAACAAGATTTTAGAAATTGTGTCCCGTCTATGCTACAATAATTTATTTAATCATTTTTTTTCAAATATATCAATTCATTATAGAAAAGAAAAGAAAATCCTAACAATTTATTACTTTAGCTGATTATCAAGCGTTTTCACAGTAATATAGCTATATTCGTTCCTGAAAGAACATAGCATTGAGGTGAACGTAAAATTTATTCCCTTATAAAGTTGTTTTTGGACGCCTACAGGACATTTATTGTACCTTACCCTCGCCTTGCAGATGCTATAATCACAAAGACTGTCAGAAATCATCAAGTTTATGTCGCAAAAATCATAAAGACTCCACTCTCACTGTAACCAAGTATCCTACCAGAGATACACGATATTGTGAACTCCTAACATTGCCGGATCGTAAATATTAGTGGATGCCAATCCAAAATCGTGACAGGGAGTAAATGAAAGAGTTGCTTCCATTTAAATACCTGCTGAAGATTCGTTTTTCGTTTTCGTTTTTCGATGAAATTTAATACATTTTAAACTCAATTTTTATTTTTTCTTGTGGCGAAACAATTTTTTTTCAATAGGCGGTGTACAATTGAGACTCGTCGGCGCAAAGTTAAGAAATAAAAATATTTTTTTTTTATTGTATAGGCGGGTGGGATTTTTACGGGCGGCGGGAGATGAGAAACACAGAATTAAATACGGACGCCCTTATCTGATGCTGACATCTCTTTGCTGAAAAGTTTACATTCAGAATATTAGTTAAATTTGCTGTTTCATATATGCTAATCAAATTAATCTCTTTAGTCATCAAAATATGAAGTGAAAGGGTTGTTGGACATTTACTACAAGGTACATGTTTATTCTAGTAGTAAATTCCAAGGTTAACCTTTGACATCGCCAGGCTCTTGCCAGGCACCCATAGCCGTTACAGCCTTGTCACTCACGGGCTGATAACATCTTCACTGCTGAGGGGTAGCAAATGGAAGACTATTTGGAAACCCACGGGGGTTTTGGAGCTTTGCGCCCCGGCCTTTAATAAGTTTTACTTAAAAGATTAAATTGCTGGCGTTTCCAACAACTGTGCCCATACAAGAGGTATGCAGATATAATGGAAACACCTTATGTTTAAAAGGCAACTAATGTTTCTTTATATAAAAAAGATATGACTTGTCAAGTCATTAGATGTTTATGCCATTTATTTTTATTCAATGACCGTTTGTACATAAATATGACATGTAAGTAGTCAGAAATATTCTGACTACCTGCGTAGTGCGTACTGTTATTTGTTGTTGGTTTTTTATTGTTTTCAAGAGAAGTCAGAAATGTCGATAGTTACGGTTGTCGTTGTGCATGATTTTGCGTCAGTCATGGCTTCACGCTGCACAGAAATTTTGACAAGTTCGTATGAATTTATTTACAGTTTGATGAATTTTGAAAGGCATCATACCATGACTGCTTGAACAGATCTATTAGTGATCATATTTTATGCCAGGATGGGGAAGGAATACTTTTGGACTGTCATATATATGATAACCCGACATTTTGAAGTATACTTTTCACCTCATTGGAAAGATCAGATGGAATACCAACACAAGTTGGTAGATAGAGAGAGAATAAAGGGGATAATTGTTCTCTCTGTCTTACCACTTGATTTCATTTGTTGATTGATACATGTTGCAATTTAATTTTGCAGGTTTTAAAAACCTTGTTGCTAAAATTACTTTTAATCATTTCATTCCAAACCACAAACCATTAAATTTCCCCAAACAGTATCACAGGCCTGGTCCAGATTTATAATATAGATATCGGCAAGCAAGTAGTAGAACTAGCTTTACGGATATTTAATTTAATTCAAGATTTACAGCAATTTAAAAGCTTGATCTTAGAAAGGTTTGTACAACCAATTACGTAACAATTATTGGCTGGATTGTTTTCTTTGTCTGGTTTGTCTAAAGTTTGGTTCCAATTTTCTTTAAAAAAAATGTTAAGTGCTGCGTCCATTTCCATAGTATGAAATGAAAAAAAATAAATCAATAAGTTGTTTTCAAAATTTAGGGATCGTCCTCCACATCTATAGCAAAGGTGATGTGGGGTTCCTTTTGAATTCCTGAAAACCAAAGTGAGCTAATGGAACTCTTTGCTTTCTAAGAAAGTAGATGCACGGTACTAAATACATTCACGTAAGAAGCGACTAACGGGATCGGGTGGTCGGGCTTGCTGACTTGGTTGACACACGTCATCCCTTCCTAGTTGCGTAGGTCAATGCTCATGCTTTTGATCAGTGGATTTTCTGGTATATCATATAACTGGTATATCGCTGAGTACGGCTTTGAACAAGAAAGCAACCAACCAAAAAATGACCAAATAAATAACCATGGAAACGAAGTTTGCTCAGAGTCTGGAGCTATTCCTCGAACAGTTTATGGGCGGTGGGGTAGCCTGGTGGTTTAAGCGTTCGCTCGTCATGCTGAAGACCAGTGTTCGATTCCCCACATTGGTACAATGTGTGAAGCCCATTCCTGGTGTCCCCCGCCATGATATTGCTGGAATATTGCTAAAAGCGGCGTAAAACCATACTCACTCACGAGTGAAAGCTGCATTTAGACCCTGACTGCTGCAATAACTTTCGTTCAAGATCTATGTTATGCATCCTTTGTTGAAGTCCAGACTGTGACCGATCACCAATCGTGAACATCCGGGTCAGAATTGGTCTTCAGTAATCCATGTTTGTCGTAAAAGCCGACTAACCGGATCGGGTGGTCAGGCTCACTGACGTGGCTGACACGTCATTGAATCCCGATTGTGTAAATGGATGCTCATGCTGTTGATCACTGGATTGTATGGTCCAGACCAGCCCCATACAGCTGGACTAATCTGGTTGCGACATTAAACAACAAACCAATGACTATTAACTTGAATCAAACCAATAATTAAAATGAGATCACGAAAATAGCATTTATTTGAATACAGTTCAACAACATGGGGCTTACACGAATAACAGTGTTAAAAGATCTATTTTGGTAACAAAACATGATTCACTTTACAACGATCACAACTTTTAATACATGAGTATCAGCCATTTGTTCTGCATGTGTATTATACTATTGCAACGCGTCAAGATAAGCTTCAGTATAGTGGATATAGGTAGTATCGGTATATGCTGTATATGCAAAGCTTTCATAAGTATGAGTGAGTGAGTGAGTTTAGTTTTACGCCGCACTCAGCAATATTCCAGCTATATGGCGGCGGTCTGTAAATAATCGAGTCTGGACCAGACAATCCAGTGATCAACAGCATGAGCATCGATCTGCGCAATTGGGAACCGATGACATGTGTCAACCAAGTCAGGAGCCTGACCACCCGATCCCGTTAGTCGCCTCCTACGACAAGCACAGTCTTCATAAGTAGGTTGTTCGTATTACGCTCAAATTGGCCCGTGTCAAACAAAATAACCACATGGTTTAGCAGGGTGCGATTTCGCTACTAACAACCTGCACTGGTGCATGTTAAAATGGCTGTTGCAGGTTACCTTCAGTAAAAGGTTGAACCCGGTGCAGGTAACAAGAAAATCCTCCAACATGTCATCGTGTGCTTTAACTTGGAAGTAAGTGACTCGAAGTCATATGTTCCTCTCCGCATGGATTGTTACAAGCATAAACATTTGCGTCCTCATAAATCAGTTACTTAGAAGAAATCCTATGACTGAGAAATAAAGATAATGCAAAACTGAAACAATCATTCATCATTTATCATCATGGGACCAGGTTTTGTTGAATGTATCAGATACTGAGTACGTGTTATTAAAATTGCTAGACAAGTATGTATGTTACCTTTTAGAACCAGTAACATTATTCTATGGCACAACCGAAATTTTGATGGTGGAGACAAACCTATAGGCCAAGTTGCACTCGGTGCAGATACTGAAAAAAACCCAGTAAATCGCACCCTGTTTTGACACCTGTGGGATTACCGTTATTGCATCCTTTAACTTGATACCACAGGACAAGAGACTGCTGACGTCACACTTCCTTATCTTTGGGTTCCTGATTTCTTATAACAATCTTAGCTCCTTCCTGACCGGTAGCATTTCGAAATATATAATTCAAATAGTCAGATCACGAAGGTTTCATGAAACTGGTATTTTCATATTTGCCTTGTTAAATGTCCTCGGCATTTACTTTGGTCCAGTGTGAGTCACCACGAACCCATAAAGAGGACAGTATGGAAACTCCCCAATAAAGTACTAGTATCACGCCATCTTTGTGAGTATTGTGCAGATGATTACAATCATAAGCCTTCATGTTCTACAAGGTAACTATATTACTTCAATAATGCCGCGATAACCATCTCTTGTTTGTTCTATATTTAGCCGTTACTAGTACCATGCCGGGAACGTAATTGATACATTGACAGAAGATCAAGTTGTATTTTCGGAATGAAATCGAGGCGGTTATTGTTTTTGGCACGTACGTAACATTGCCCCACACTTACTTCTCAATTGGATAAGTTATTGAAAAACTCACGGTGTCTGTCTATAACGTCCCAAGTCATTTGATGACTACATCCGATTTTATTGTATAGATAGTGTTGAATCTAACGTCACGTTCTGTTGATAGCTTATGACGTGACGTTCTGTTGATTGTAAACAACGTCTGGCTCTGTTCGTCGTTTATAACGCGACGTTCTGTTGAGTGTAAATAACGTCAGGCTCTGTTCGTTGTATATAACGCGACGTTCTGTTGAGTGTAAATAACGTCAGGCTCTGCTCGTTGTATATAACGCGACGTTCTGTTAATTGTAAACAATGTCAGGCTCTGTTCGTCGTTTATAACGCGACGTCCTGTTGAGTGTAAATAACGTCAGGCTCTGCTCTGTTGTATATAACGCGACGTTCTGTTAATTGTAAACAATGTAAAGCTCTGTTGGTCGTGTAGAACTTGACGTTCTGTTGATTGTAAATAACGTAAAGCTCTGTCGATTGTTTATAACTAGGCGTTCTATTGATCGTAAATAATGTGTGGCTCTGCTGGTCGTATATAACGGACGTTCCATTGATTGTAAATAACATGACGTTATGTTGACTATTTTAAACGTGAGTCTCTGTTGATCTTATATAATTTGACATTCTGTTGAATGTTTTAGCTTGAGGTTCTGTTGACTGTACTTAACGCGAAGAAATGTTGATTGTAAATGATATAAAACTCTGTTGATCCTACAGAACTACTGTTCTGTTGATTGTAATTAACTTGACGTTCTGTTGACCGAATATAAAGCTGATCTGTTGATTGTCTGTTTTCAGTTCGCCATAGCATCTATTAATACAGGTTACCGGGGTTACACTGGTACAGCGACATCTGAAACAGAAATAGGGGACATTTAGGGACATTCAGCTATGGCTCAGCCAAACAACTAGAATACGTTGCTTTATATTTCCATTGAAGGCAAACAGTTATCACATTGCTTTTACGCTTAATGACAAAATAAAATAAGTTACATTGAAGTATAGAAAAACTGTAACAGTTTGACTTTTAAATAATATATTGCTTTTAGAATTTGGTCAAACTGAAGCACTGTGATAATAGACATCTTAACATTGTCCGGTGGGGAATGTCTATTAACAGTTCATTTCAAAGTTGGGAAATCCAGTTTTTCGTGTAGTGATACATGAGAGTCTATATCATTGGGGTAGCCAAGTGGTTAAAGCGTTCGCTCGTCACGCCAAAGTCCCGCGTTCGATTACCCACATGGGTACAATGTGTGAAGCCCATTTCTGGAATATTGCTAAAAGCGGCATAAAACTAAATTCACTCACTCACTATATCATTGGCCACCATTCCACATATGATATACGTTTTTTTTCTTTCAGTATAACAAAGAAAGAGCTCTATAGCTTACATATATACCACACATGGAAAATAAATTATATGTTATTAAAATAATAAATTATTACATATTATAAAATATGTCATTATACCTCGTCAAGCTGTCCAATAAAGTTGTTGGTAGCATCGGTCTTGCTGTCCGATCCGAAAGTCAACCCACACCTCATTATGGTTGATTGTGGAGCTAAAATGACAAACAGGTGTCTGACCACAAACATCTATTTACAAAACAAACCTTTGTAAAATGTAACTCATCGGCTTGCAGAATGAGTTTATGCGTTAAGTCATCTTTCTATATCGCTAGTACTTATCGCCAGTATTTTCACGCTTCACACCGAGGGGTGAGAAACGGGTGGTGGAACAGCGCCGGCACGCACTTCAGGTGCAACTCAGCACAGCCCTCTATACAAAACAGGGAAACAGACGGCACTTTTCCACCAACCGTTTGTCATCCCAAGGTGTCAAGCGTGAAATTAGAACAATGTTATATGATAGTTTCTTAAACAACTTTTTCCGTGATCAGCCACAAAAAGGTCAGATTTCAGATCCTGTTGGGTACAGATGTTCTAGGACCATGTGTCTTATTTATGTTTTGTGCACTTATCGCTATTTCGAGTTATTTAATCCTTCACCGTTCTCATTTGAACTCAGACGGACTGTAAGTCTAATTACATCTCACAATTATGCCTTGTTCATGCTAACACGGTGGTATCTAATTTTGCCAGTCAGGCATGTTGGGCATACGCTCTCAATGACATGGAAGATCCAGGTTAGAATTGGTCTTCAGCAACATATGCTTGGCGTAAGGGGCGGCAAACGGGATTGGGTGGTCTGAGGCTCGCTGATGGCATGTCATCGTGGCCCGATCCCTAAGATTGGTGTTCATTGTTTCAACCACTGGATTATCTAGTGCGTGAATATTTACATACTGCTGTTATGCAAACAATCTGTTGCTGAGTGCAGCTCAAAGCAACAAAGGAAACATACATGTCAGTGATACTGCGAAGAATGTCATTTGACCTGTTCCATTACTTCTGATTGTTTGCTTAATCTTTCCTCGTGACACTCCTGTCCCAAATCCTCGCATTGAAGCACACAAATAATCCCTTTCGTGCCTGTCTGTCGCATTTACTCCCAAAGCTTGTGTTCAAGTACTTGGCATTAGATGAGGTGTCGACTTTGACCTGTGTTTTCCAGCCTTGCAGCGGTAGGTGGTTGATGTTATATTATAGTGAAAAGCTATCAAACCTATGTCAAAGTTCTTTTCTGGCAGTAATGTTTCTATAACCTCCTCAGGGCCGGTGGGCTAGCTTCGTGGTTCAAGCGTTCGTTCGTTGCGCCGAAAGCCCGGGTTCGATTCTTCACATGGGTACAATGTATGCAGCCCATTTTCTGGTGGCCCCGTGATATTGTTGGAATATTGTATAAAATTAAAATTAACTCTCCGAAGATCTTTTCACGAGACCTAATCTCTAATATGTTAAGGGGCGGTGGGGGTAGCCTAGTGGTTAAGGCGTTGGCTCGTCACGCCGAATACCCGTCTTCGAATCCCACATGGGTACAATGCGTGAAGCCCATTTCTGGTGTCCCCCGCCGTGATGTTGCTGGAATATTGCTAAAAGCGGCGTAAAACTAAAACTCAGTCAGTTACATGGTATAATGTATGAAGCCCATTTCTGGTGTCCGCTGCCATGATATTGCTAACAGCGGCGTAAAAGCATATTCTTTCACCCTAATATGATAAACAAGCGGCTACTCACCATGAATCTTGGCAGCATACTTGAGCGTTTCTGCCTCCACCACAGCCAGTATGTCATAGCCCGCATACATGAAGGTCACTGTCTTCCAGTCCCCACGTGAGAAGCCCTACAGCAGAGGAGTGAGTGAGTTTAGTTTTACGCCGCACTCCAGCAATATTCCAGCTATATTTGCGGCGGTCTGTAAATAATCCAGTCTGGACCAGGATAATCCAGGGATCAACAGCACGAACATCGATCTGCGCAATTGGGATACGATAACATGTGTAAACCCAGTCAGCGAGCCTGACCACCCAATTCGATCCCGTTAGTCGCTTCTTACGACACGCCTGGGCTACTGAAAAGCTCACTCTAATACAAAAATTCGAAAGCAAGATATGGTGATAGTGAGTTTACAAGCTCAAAAATGGCATGACGCGGTAGACGATATCGCCGGACTATGCTGTCATCCAGCGTATCGAGAACCAGAGTTCGGTCCCAAAATACCCTTTGGTCGTGATGGTTTTGACTCATCCAAGCCGAGCAGAAAATATGCAGCCATCTCCAATTCTCAAGTTACGACAGAAATGTTGATTTACGATAGGCGCTGGCCGTTCTTAAATTTTCTTTTACTTTACGAGGTGTTTTCACTAAGATAGTTTCGTGGATCGCTTAAGATTTGTGTCTTCTTAAAGTTACGATAGGTTTTACGATACCGAGCCAGGTGTACGGTGTTTGTGAGAGGGTAAAATCATTACGCATCATTCAATATGCTTGGAAACATGAACAATCCGTGATGTCTTGATGCGTTTTAGCCGCAAAGATCCGGGTTAGAATGACCCTTCAGTAACCCATGCTTGTCGTAAGAGGCGACTAACAGGATCGGGTGACTTGGTTGACACATGTGATCGTAGCCCAGCTGTGTAGATCGATGCTTGTGCTGTTGATCACTGGATTGTCTAGTTCAGAATCGACTATTTACAGACCGCCGCTATATAGCTGGAATATTGCTGAGTGCGGCGTTAAACAACAAACAAACACAATCTTAATGCGTTATAAAACTAAAAGAATCGGGCAAAGTGATAAAGTTACAACACTGAACCTGCAAGTTGGCAGTTTTGATTGACATACCGCCATGGACACTGGTAGCTTGACCGTCCAGTCGTACCAAGACTTCAGCTCAAAGGTCATGGTGTAACTGTCGACGGCAATGACCAAACTGCTGCCATTCCTGCAGTCACTTGTGCTGACCAGTACCCGACGACCGAAAACAGCGCCAGTTTCGGTACCGGAAGCGGACAATCAAAGGATTGGCGCTGGATGCAGTTGGCATGGCGATGTTGGCCTCCAGCCGACTGCTGCCGTTGAAGTTTGCGATGCCGTTGGTAACGTCAACGTTAGAGAGTTGAAGCCACGACGTTAGGGCGGACGTTAAGCTACTTCCCGCGGTGAAGGTGACAGCGTTGGAGGCCGAGCAGACTGTCAGAAAAAGAAAAAGACGTTAATCATGAACGATAGTTTGTAGATGGAGGCATGTGTTGTAAGACTTGCACAAGTCTCTAAGGTCAAAATTAATAGTTTAAATGATAATTTCTAAAATAATAATAACAGACCAGGGTCCTTTGTACTTGTCCGCTTATCTAGACTTGCCTCTTCGAAGGTTAGAATTACTAAACATCCATGGGTTCGGCATTCAGTACAGCGTTCGAAGGCTAGGATAGTGTATGCAGCGCAGACGTGTATGTCATTCCGACGACACGTTCATCCTATTATCGATCTAAATATGGAATTCAATAGTTCCAAATGTTTTACTAAAAGAATGTATGGAAAAAAATTGATAAATTCTGCCCCAAAACATTGTGTGTGTGAGTATATTTTTACGCCGCTTTTAGCAATTTCCCAGTATTGAAGATATTTTCCATGTATATGTTGACTGTCACTGTGTCATTAAACTCTGGTAAAAGCTTGAAGCAATATTTAACCAGTATGTACTTAAAGGCATTTCATTGACAAAGCAAACCATATCATTTGGCCTTCCATGCACACAAATTCTCATGAATCATATCATTCTCATTACTAAAAACTTCAAAGTATTAAACAAGATAGAAGTACGTTTGAAAAACCTCTGAAACTTTACAACATTGAGAAATATATTGCTAAAAAATCCCAGACCCTTCAAGTCAAAACATTGACTACACAACAGTCTCTGTCTCCCCGTTGACTGGGTTCCGTCCTATTGCGCAACTTAGTACAATAACCAGTCCAGAATTTTTAGACCAATTCATTTAACTAGATACATAAATATTGATCAGTATTATTTGATACATCTAAGCACTTGTATATTGCAACACTACGCTCCTTATAATCCTTGCAAACATGTCGTGCAGCGTGCTCTGTCGTACAGAGAGCTCTGACAAAAAGAAACCTGAAAATCGTGGAAATCTCAAAACGAGGTTCTGTCGCTAGAAAAGTTTAGCGGTCTGGTACGGACTTGATGTTATATCAATCACATTGTGCGTTACAGAAATACACTGAATCAGCCGAAATGAATTGTGAATCATTTTACGACCTCATCAAACAGGGGCAGTCTGTGACGTCTTAGTTAAGGTCATGCTGCCTAAATCTCGCCATGATATATAGAAATACGATGTTATTAAAGTTTAAAATTAAAATTCATTTGTAAATATCATTTTCTTATGAAACAAGTAATTGGAATTCAGTGTAACCATAGTTGTTTGTGATGTCTATTTTCACTTTCACTCGAGAAAATTCAGATCGGCTGAAAAGTAGGTCATTGTCAGAATAGGTTAATGAGACTCATGTTTCGGTTCGGCTGTTTCTACAGAAAGTGGTTGCCTCTAGTACACATATTTTGACACACCTTAGTGCGATTATTATCTGAGTATGTACACAAGTTACCACTGTATTGATCCGTACTATATTTGCTTTTGTACATTGGAAAGCTAATGGATGAATAAAAAATTAAAAAGAAAAAGAAAAAAACCCCGAAAATTTCCAGTTATATCACGGAAGGGATAGAACAAATCTGTTTCACACATCATATGAGGGATCAAGTCGAGTGTTACATTGGTTGACAGCACTGCAGCCGCAGTTGGTGATGTCGAAGTACGTTCCGCTAGCACACGAGGCGGGTACCCAACCAAGAGCGCCGACAGACATGTTGTAGGTGGCTGGGTTGGAGGTCCAGTCTGGTCGCCTGTCGCAGAGGTCTGAAACACAAGGTAGAATTAACGTCACTTGGAACAATATTCCAGTCATACCGTGGCGTCGCAACTTCGTGCGCGAGCGGGTATTGTTGTACGCCCGCTTTTAGCAATATTCCAAAACATCACGGCGGCCGACACTAAATACGGGCTTTACACTTCTCATGTGGGAATAGAACCCGGGTCTTCCGTGGTGACGAGCGAACGCTATTGCTACTAGGCTA